GGTGTGTGTGTGTGTGTGTGTGTGTGTGTGTGTGTGTTTATATATGTCCTCTTGTATGTGCACATGTAGAGCCAGAGATTGACTTCAGGCATTTTCTTTTGTCTCTCTCCACTTTACTTATTATTAATTAATTAATTGAGACAGGATCTCTAACTGAATCTACAGCTCACCATTATGTCTAGACCTGCCAGCCAGCAAGCCATGGGAACCCTGTCTCACCCGCTAGCATTGAGTTTATAGGCATGTGCCACCAAGCCGGACTTGTTTCTTGGGTGCTGAGGATTCAAACTTAAATCTTCATGTTTACAAGTACTTCATCCATTGAGCCATCTCCCCCGCCCCTCAGTCCATTTTTAATGCTTTGCTTTGCTGCCCCACACAGGTATGTTGATGGGATTCCCATAACAACCTATGCTCCATTGCCTTGGACTCTGTCCCCTGACTCAGGTCAGGCAGCCTAGGATTATCTATTTATCTATTCATGAGTCTTACAATTCTATACTGACCCAGACTTGAACTCCCAAAACCCAGACTCCTTCCCCTAGTTTTCTTCCCATTGGGGTTTTGATGAATTTAGAGTTCCTGTTTTCAGTCTGCCCATCTCTATTCCGTCTCTACTGCCCTAAGTAGTTGTGTTTCCTGTTTTTCCCAGAGTCCTTTACTGCTACTTTAAAGCTGTTGATTTGTCAGGCCCTTCCTAAGCCTCACCAGTTGCAGAAGTCCCTATTTTTAAGTAAAACATTCAGTATTTTTCTATGACAGTGGTGCTCCTGGAAAACGAACTGCACAGTTAATAGTTTCCTCCTTGCTCTGTGCATACATAAAATAGTTCATCAAAATGAACTAATGTCAGAGAGAGAGAGAGAGAGAGAGAGAGAGAGAGAGAGAGAGAGTTTCTCATGTATTCTGAATTTATGCAAAGAGGATTCAAGCCTCCAGTGCCAGAGCTGCTCAGAGCTGTGGAGGAGATGGCTCAGTCCATAAAGCAATTGCCTTGCAAGTTTAAGGACCTGAGTTTGGTCCTCAGAACCCATGTAAAAAGCCTAGCATGGTGGCACATACCTGTCGTCCCAGTGATGGAGAGATGGAAGATGGAGACAGGAAGATCCCTGGAAGCCCATTGGCTACCTAGTCTAGCCTGTTTGCTGAAGTTCCAGGCTAATGACAGACCCTATCTCAAACAAAAGGTGGAAGGCTGCAGGCAGTAGCAGTGTGGCCACTGTGGAAATCAGTGTGGAGATTCCTCAGAAAGCTAGGAATCGATCTACCACATGATCCAGCCATACCACTCTTGGGCATATACCCAAAAGACTCTATGGCCCCTACAGAAATGCCTGTTCATCCATGTTCATTGTCGCCCTTTTCATAGTAGCCAGAAATTGAAAACAACCTAGACGTCCATCATCTGATGGATGGATGGATGGCTAATGAAGGTGTGGTACGTGTACACAATGGAATATTATTCAACTCTTTAAAAAAATATAATTATGGGGCTAAGGAGATGGCTCAGCAGTTAAGAGCACTGGCAGCTCTTCCAGAGGATCAGGGTTTGATTCCCATTGTCCATATGGCAGCTAACTACTGTACTGACTCCAATTCCAAGGGATCTGATACCCTCTTCTGGCCTCTGGAGGCATTGTGTATCACAGGTGCACTTACATACATGCAGGCCAAACACACATAACAAAGAAAAATTATGAGAATCACAAGTAAGTGGATAGAACTAGAAACAATCATCCTAAGTGAGATTAAAGTATCTCTCATCTCTCACCAGAGAAGTTTCTTTACGCAGCAGATGGTGATTGACACAGAAACCCACAACTGGCCAACCTGCAGAGAACAATAGACTATAGAGTGCTTATCCCTGAATAGGACACCAATATCAAACATCTGCCTCCCACAGTTCAGGGGTCATTGCAGAAGAGAAGGCAGAAAGTTTCTAAGAGCCAGAGGTGGTGAATAACTACAAGGGAACAGTTTTTCAGACAGCTGGGCAGGTACTTATGAACTCACAGCAATGGTGACAGCATGCATATGTCCTATACAAGCTTAAACCAGATAAAATCCCAACATAAACATGGGGAAGTGGCTAGAAAACCCCAACCCTACCTGAGGAAATATTGGCAACTGATGGCTGCTGGGATGGGGAGAGTCAGTGTCCTTCAAGGGTGTGACTCTTAGTAGGTTAGCCAGGCTCCAGTGGATGAACCCACACTGAAGGACATTTAGGGACACAAATTTTATATATATATTTCATATATATGAAATACAGTACATTAAGTTGGGTGGAGGGCAATTAAGGGGAGGTACAGATAGGGGAGGGGATTTAAATACAGTCAAAAATAGTATATGAAAATCATAAAGATTCAATTTTTTAAAAAGGTGGAAGACACCTGAGGGATGATGCTGGAAGTTGTCCTCTGACCTTCACATGCATGTGCACATGTGTGTACAACACACACACAAAGATAGACACATAAGTAAGAGTTCCCTTCCCATCATCACTCTACGTTCCACTGCAGCCTGTGCACCCTCACTGAAGAGACCAAAAACATTCTGAAAGAGTTAGCAAAGGAGTCCATGCTTCTTCGTAGGACTTTGAAAGTGAAAAGCCCTGTGGGGCAGGTGATTGATTTGATACCAGCCAACTCTGCAGGAGGCCCAGAGCTCTGGCCCACCACCAGCAGGGAATAATGGCCTTTTATGCCATCTGAAGGAAGCACACTTTGCAAGGAGATTTTTTTTTACCTAGAGCTGTGAATATGGGTCTGTGTGTGTGTGTGTGTGTGTGTGTGTGTGTGTGTGTGTGTGTGTGTGTGTGTGTGTGTGTGTGTGTGTTGGAGCTAATGTCTTCACACTCAAATGGAGTTCAGAGAGCATAGATTCATGTAACCATTTTCTCTTTTCAATCTTGGCCCCAAAATTGCCCATTCAATTAAAGGACTAAATAGTTCATCAATCAAACCTTAGATGCCTCCATGAAAAGTATAATAACTTTCTGGGAGAATAATGACTTCAGGAAAAAGAAAGCTCTATCCTGGATGCACTAAATAAATTAACCACAAAACTGTTAACCACAACACAGTAGAGAGCCAAGTTCCCCAAGTCAAATGAAAATGGACTGTTTGCCAAATTAGAATTTTAATCGAAAAGGGAAGTTCATAATTTCTCTGAAACTGAAAGAAATAGCTCCCACACCTATGTCTGCACCATCTATTGTCCCCCCAGGTGTTCTGGGATTGTTTTGGAGGATTAGAGACAGCTCTTAGCCTCCAGTTCGTGCACAATAGTGTCTGATCTGCTCCTAAAGGCTTGGCACTGAGTCACGTTCTTCATGTCCTGGCATTCAGACATGCTTACCTCGATGTACATTAGGCATTTTCAGTAATATCCCAGGCCTGCATTGTGTTTTGTTTTGTTTAACAGATTTGATATGGGTACCTAAAATTCACATGTAGATCGTTTTGAGACAATGTGATCCAACTTCTCACCTGCACCCCAACTCTGGAACACACAACTTCTGCTGTGGCAGTAGGCCTTCACTTGAGAGTTTCCACCACTGTAAAGTACAGTGGCTTTACAAGCAGCGGATGGACATTTCATTGTTGAACATAGATAGATAGGGTTCCCTTCACCTTGGAACCTCCCCAGGGACTCCAGAGCATAGTGCTTCCCTGCAGACACTCCTCACCAACAAGCCATTTTGAAGAGGATGCAGACAGGTGATGGAAAGCCTCTGATGGAGTGTATTTACAGCATAGTTGGCTATACCTTATTCTGACTGAATGGCATCTGAGTGTGAATGTCGGCTCTCTGGTGCCATCTTGTGTCATTAAGGATTGAAATACTCAACAGTATTAAAAAAAAAAAACCTAGTCATCTCCCCTAAATGTCCATGCAGGATCTGGAATAAGTGACATTGGTCATACACACAAGAGCCCAAACGTAGGATGATAACTGTGTTTAGGTACTGACTCGAACAGTGCACGTAGTAATTCATTTAACTCTCATACCAGCCTGTGAGGCACATAAGGATTTATACATAGTAAAATGGAAGCATAGAAGGGTTAAATGATTCAGAACTAAATGGAGGATCTGAACCTGGTTCTAGGATATACATTCTTAGTCACTGTATGTCACTGTGTCCTTATGTGGAAGCAAGGTTTATTTACTCTTGAATTGAACTTCAAGTATTATGTTTATAGTATCAAAGGAAGGCAAGTTCTGTGAAAGGGCTTTGAAAAGGACACTGTCATACAAATCTAGAATTATTTACAGGCTCTCCTTGGCCACCTGCCTATAAAGGGGCATCATGGGATTGAAGAGGAGGTGACAGACTTAGGCTCCTGTCCAAATGAACAAATTAACACTGTTGAGCTCAAAACCCAAGTCCTCCCCACTTAGCTGTCAGAGGCCTCCTGTGCTACCAGATGTTCGTGTGATTGCTGTCAGAATGCATCAGTATGGTTTCAAGCCGCGATTATTTCTGTTTTCTTGTTAGGAGGGCCTCACATCAAAGTGCAGTTTCAAGCCTTGCACCTCATGGTCATGGCCCTGCCTGACACCAACAGGGACACAGCCCAGGTATGTGGTAGGACTGGGGAGATAGCTCAGTCAGTAAAGTGTTTGCCTTACAAACATGAAGGCCTGAGTTTGGCTCCCCACCACCCACATAAAAACCAGGTGTGGCAGAATGTGTCTGCAATCCCAGCACTGCAGAGAGGGAGAGACAGGGGAATCTCTGGGGCTTGCTGGCCAGCCAGTCTAGTGGAATCAGCAAGCTTCAGTTTTAGTGAGAGACAGTATACCAAAAAATAAAGAGGCCAGGGCCAGTGAGATGGCTCAGTGGGGGTAGAAGCACTTGAGCATAGGACTGATAACCTGAGCTAGATCCTCGGATTCCTCAAGATGACAGAAGAGAACTGACCCTCCAGAGTTGTCCTCTGACCTCCACCCCTGTGCAGATGGTATACGTGGGCATGCCTGTATTCACACACACATATACCCTTATACACACACACACACACAAAACACAACACACACGCACGCACACACGCACAATAAATAAATGGGTAAACAAATAAACTTTTCAAAGTGGAGAACAATTGAGAAAGACACTCAGCGTTGACTGCTTGGACCCTACACCCTGGTGAGATGCACACACAGGCACATGTGCACACACACAAATGTACATGCAGATACACACAAAAGCACGGGTAGAACCCAAGCTTGAGAAACCAAAAAGCTTCCCTTGGGATTTCCATCATCTTGGTGACGTTCCAAAGGTTCCAGTGAGTATCCAAGCTTTGGTGATTCAACACTCTTAAAAAAATTCTGCTCGTTTTTTTTTTTTTTTCCCTTTAATGCTTATAAAAGTTGAACATAAACATTTGCCTGTACCAGCTGAAGATTTCAAAATTGAAAAGCAATAGAAAGATCCAGGCCTAGTGGCACGTGCCTGTGATCTCAGCTGTTAGGGTGCTGAAACAGGAGAATCACAAGCCTGAGGCCAGTCTGAGCAACAAAACCAAAAACAAATGGAAAGTAATAGAGAGGTAATAAGTCAAAAGTAATGTTTTTTAAATTTTCAACTCAGTTTGCACTTGTGCTGAGGAAAGAGAAACTCCTGTTGTTTAAATGAGTTTTCATTTCCCAAGGAAATAATAAATCGATATCAATAATAGAGCTTTCAGTTTAAGGGTGTTATTTCTAAAGAATTCTTTTTCTTCACAACAAAACTGCATTTCATTTTGTTTGAGCTGCAGTGTTTTTCTCCCTGGTTTATATTTAATTTAAATATTTGTCAAGCTTGTTTAGGATAAAAGGAAAAGAAAGTGCAATCTATTATTTGTAGTCACCGTAATAATAAACTCCATAAGAGGGGAATTATTTTATGAAGCAAACAGTTGAATAAACTGCTTGCTTTGATTCTTAGCACCTCTAAGCAATTTAAGGGGACACAGGATGCATTTATTCATTCTATAATTCTAACAGTTTCCCAGCAACATGGTGAAGGGTTCTAGAAGTGAGTGGTCACCACCAGGGAAGCCTGTTGGTGGTTTATGGTAGTGTGACACAGTCCTGTTTCTACTTAGGCTCTAATGACTTTCTTCAACAAAGTGATTGCCAATGAATCCAAGAACCGCATGAGCCTGTGGAACATTTCCACCGTGATGGCGCCAAACCTGTTCTTCAGCAGGAGCAAGCACTCTGACTGTGAGGAATTGCTGCTAGCCAATACTGCAGCCCACATCATCCGTCTGATGCTGAAGTACCAGAAAATTCTGTGGAAGGTGAGGCACAACTTGATGACTTTTGGGCTCCCCTCAGAGAGCCACCAACTGCCAGGAAGTGTAAAGGCACCATGACCAAGCAAATCTGGGAGTCCAGAAGGAATGGAAACAATGAGAAGATAGTTCCAGGTTGCCTGTGGCATCCATGTACAGTCAACCCTCCCATCCATAAGTAATTCATCTCTAGATTTAACCAACCACAGTTCCAATATCCTCCCAAAGTGCAAATACTATATACAATTGTACACAAGCACCTTGAATCCAAGAACCTGCGTATCTGAGGGGTTCCTATAGATAGATATCAAGGGGCAACTCGACGTTCTTGATGCATGTTCTGGCATGTTTTTCTCTGTTAAATAGAAATCATCACTTTCCTAATCTTTACAAGGATAAAAGCCACAGCTCCTGGATCCAGGATAATAAAGGGCTAGGAGGAGCTTCCATAACTGAAGGCTGAGTCTGCAAAGGGGGTTTCATGCAAGTGCCTTCCCTCTAGTCAGGCCCCTTTCTCCTCCAGGTTCCATCTTTCTTGATCACCCAAGTCAGAAGGATGAATGAAGCCACCATGCTGCTGAAGAAACAGCTGCCAAGTGTGAAGAAACTGCTCAGGAGGAAGACCATAGAGCGAGAGGTGAGAGCAGAAGGGGCCGCAGGGACCTCACAGTCTAGACGTCCACTTCTTAAAGGGAGGCACAAAGGCATTAGTACCCCAGATAGGTACTGTGCACAGTGTGTCCGTTACAGAGCACGGTGGCCTTTCCCATTGTTTTGAATTATGTGCTTTTTGGTTAAAGTTCTTGAAATCTCTGTCTCATGGAGATTGTTTAGTATTCCATTAGTGACTTATCAGAACTGCTAAAATTATTCTCAAAGAAGCTGAAAGTCAGCATTTAGTTCCTGTAAGCTAGACTTAAGGGCAATCAAGTCACCATGGCTTGAATGTGAAGTGTCCCCCAAAGGCTCACTTGAACACTTGGTCCCCAGCTGGTCGTGCTGTTTGGGAAGGCTGTAAAACTTTTAGGAGGTGGAACCTCACTGGAGGAAATGGATCACTAAGGGGGTGGGGCTTGAGGCTTTGTCATTGGTCCACACTTCCTCTTAATTCTCTGCTTCCTGAGCATGGATGCGGTATGACCAGCTAGCCCCCTGCCCCAACCACCATGCCTTCCCTGCCTGCTGCTGTGTTCACCTGTCATGATGGACAGAATCCTCTGGGACTGTGAGGCAAAGTGAGCCCTTTTTCCCTTAAGTTGCCTTTGTCAGGGTATTTTATCACAGCAACTAGAAGGTAACTAAGACAGCTGGTATCTCTTGTATTAAATAAGTAGAAGAAAAAGTTTCTTTGGTGAAGGAAAAATAGAAGAATAGGTAATTGTCAATTTTTTAAAAATAGATTCATTGCATTCCCAGAGATTTGCTGTTATACATTATTTGAATAGCGGCACATAATGGAAAGGGTTTCAAAAGATTCACCTTTGTTGCTTTAATTGGGCTTGGGAGTGAGTTCTTTCAAAGGATGTAGAAACTTGAAACTCATTTTGCCTTTAAAGGAACTTACACTAATTTAGGGGATGAAGGTATCTAAGAACATGAATACTCAGCAGTATGCATGAGCACCGGACCAGCTGTGTAGACAGTGAGCCAGAGCCACACAGATGACAGAGATATGGACTCCAGTGTAGGGACTGTGGGTGAGCCGGAGCCACACAGATGACAGAGATATGGACTCCAGTGTGGGGACTGTGGGTGAGCCGGAGCCACACAGATGACAGATATGGACTCCAGTGTGGGGACTGTGGGTGACCTCATTGAGGAAGTGGCTTCTTAGCTACATCTTGAAAGATGGACAGCCTTATGAAGGGTGATAAAAGGACCTTCATCAGTGAAGTGGGGAGAAGGGAGGACAAAGAGACAGGAGATTATCCTAATTGACTCACACAATTCTGACTAATGTCTGTATTCCCCTTACTGATTACTTGAAAAATGATGTCTATTGAGGAAAATGAACACTTTTGTTTTGTTTCATTTTGTTTTGCTGTGCTGGGGATCAAACTCGGAGCCCTGCCCATGCTAGGCAGTCGCCCTACTATTGAGTCTAGCCAGAGTCAGTGTGTTGGTTTATTTGAAGGATTTTTATATTAAGTCCAATATCTGGACTTCCTGAGAGACAATTTCTTTTGAAACTATTGTAATAGCATTTTGAGGGTAGTTTTAATAGGTATTAGTAGTGTTTTTGGACTGTCTAATAACTTTCTGTTGAAGACCAGACATTCTGAATATTATAGAGTAGCCACTTTAGAAATTAGATCCATAGAGCTGGTGCAGGAGCTCAGTGGTAAAGCACTTGCTTCACATGCATGAGGATGTAGGTTTAATCCCCAGAACTAACTCTCTCTCTCTCTC